GGCCCGGCCCCGGGCAGCGCTGCGCCAGCGCCACCTGCGGGGCGCGGCCGGCACTGCGCGCTCTGCACGGCGTCCCCTCCCCTGCCCCTGCACCGCAGCGATCACGGCAGGCAAAGGTGTCCCATCACCTCGTACAGAGAATTAATTCATCCTTGATACTGCACAATCTAATTGCAATTCTACTGTGAAGCCTCCCTTCTATTACGCCTCTGGAAAATCCAGAATTACAACAATCTAAGCAAAGATGGAAGGTTACATACTGAAGTAATACCTAAAAAAAACCTCTGAAGTTACAGTTTCTCTTAGTGCAAATGGCAGAAACTTCTTTCCTACGGCAAAACCTGGAATTTAACCTGGTCAAAAGTGTGTAGGCTCTTTAATATTTGTCAAGGAGAAAAGAAAAAGTTATTGCTTAACATTCACTTTAAAAGACTGCCCTTTAAACAACCACCACACAACACTGCTGAGAAAATTGTTTCACTAACAACTCAGAAGAGCGTAACATCTTATCTTTCAGCATAAGCTCTGAATTCTGCAGAACAGAATCCCAGACCTCGCACTAAGGCTTGTCATTCTACTGGTTAAATCATAAATGTAGTAAAAGAAATAAATCATGTTTAATCCTACTAAAAGTGTAATGTTCAAAAGTTCTTCTATTTCAGAAAGTAATTCCAGCTGCATTTATCTATAGCATAAATTATAAGATGTTTTAATGTTTAAAATCTGTCACTGAAGTATTAATTATTTTCATTCTCGTGTAGGACATTGAATGTTAAGAGTCTCAGTCCCTGCTTTGGTATCATTTCCCAGGTATTTCAACAGAACCCAATATATTTCCCCCTCATGCCCCAATACTAAGGCAGAAGTTGAGATGATTACAGCCAAAACGGTCACCAGTGACCAATCTGAGGAACCTAACTTTTCCATGATGTAACTGGCTCCTACACCTCTTTGCTTCAATACAGCTCCTGACAAATCTGTCCCCAGAAGGGAATGCAATGAAGCTAAAAAAAGAAATGCCAGGTCACAGATATAACACACAGGAACAATACACATTGCACCTGTGGAAGATTGGTTAGTATGAGCAGCAAATACCATCAGGGCTAGTTGGAAAACAGAAGAAAACAAGTATTTAAGAGCAACGAGAAAGACTGCAGGCAGAAACATGCTCATCACACGCATACTCTAAAAATCTGGAAATCATGCAGGCAATTAAGGTCATAAGCCAAGATAACATTTACTGCCTTTCAGCAGAGATCATTATCTGAGAGCTGTGCCAACCAGAAACCATGTATTTGTGCTTAGCAGAATGCATAAACAGAGAGAACCTGGGCAAACATGTCCCCAGCTGCTATTTGGATTCATCATATTCATTCTCCAAGCAACAGAGGAGCAAAATGGAAAACTACCGAAAACAAAGTCCAGTAAGCAACTGTGGAAAATTGCCAGGCATATTATGTCAAGATACAGAGATGCTGTTAATTTGTGGATGTCGTGGTTTTAAACTAGTAACTAAAAATTACTTATTTCTTGCTGTGAGATATGGATTAGAACAAGAGCAAAACAGGCTTAAAACTTAAAAGGAATAAAGACAGTTTATTAACAAACTACAAGAATAAGAACAGTAGAATAAACTTCCAGAAAACCCCTTTATCTCCCACCACTTGACCATTCCTTTGTACACATGATAACATAGAGACAAAAAACTTTAGAACTTTGGTGGTCAAAAACAGTCTCAATTTTTGCTAGAGTCTTTTCCTCAGTCTTTGTAGAGAAACAGAAGTCTCCTTCTGCCAATCTATGGAGTTTTTTAGAGTTCACTCCTCCCATTCCACATCACTCCAAGGTGTGCATGGGTCAATGAGTCTAGGGATGCCATTTTAAGGATGAGTTATTCAAAGGCAGAAGTCTTCTTCATCTGTCTCTGTGAGCCTTCCTGGAAAACAGCTTTTACTTTGCCCCTCAAGGCTTCAAAATCTTCACTCTACCCATCTCCAGCAACTCACAGTATCACAATTACTCTCTTTTTTTAGAAGTCCACACTTTGAACACTCTATTCCTCCCATACTCTAGTCATGAATTAAAGGAGTCTTTTAAACTACTATTGTCCATCTCCATAGCTTTAACAGAAAGATATTTCAGCTGTAAGCATCTCCTTATTCCCTCTTTCTTATTTAAACTTAACTCTTTTCCTCACTGTTTTTGGTGGTTCTATGATGTCTTCTACATGTTGATTGTCTCTCTTTCTCTGTCTTTCTGAGAAAAAGGAGTAATCTGTACATTTTATCCAGGTAGTAAAAGAATTAAAAGCTTTAAGAAAGCTG